CACTGCATGGATCCACTTTAAATCTGGTTGCTGCAGAATTCTGGGGTTTGTAGTTTAGGGAAGGGCCTTTACATTGCTCAGCTGGACAGATCTTGGGCCTCACTAAACTAGAAACCCCATAAGTTGCAACCTTTTGTAAAGCCACTCAAGACTTGGCTGTTTGGTTAAGCATTTAAGTAATCAGATCTAATTTGCCAAATAGTCACAGTTGAATGTTTTTATGTTGTATAAATGCTATTTTCGATTGTAAGTCGCTTGGAGCACCTTGGTGGAGGGCGGCTAATTAAGAAATAAAGTGAAGTGAAGTGAAGTGAAATAATTCTGCAGGAGGAAGCAACCGGATTTAAAGTGGATCTATGCTCTAGTGCATGGGCCCTAATCCTTCCCAGCCATGAAGCCCTTTTTGAAGAAAAGGTTTATCGGGGAGCCCCAAGTAATGTTCATATATTATATTATATATTATATTATATATAATGTCTATATATATCAGGCATAGGCTGGGCCAGGTAAGGGCCGGGCCAGTAGATGGAGAGTGTTTGCATGAACAAATTCACAGTGCCAAAAAGAAAAAAGAAAGAAAAGAAAGAACAATATTTAAAATGAAGAACAACTTTAACCAACACAAACTTAACAGTATTTAAGTAGAAGAACCCCACGGCCATCCAGTCCAACCTCCTTCTGCCATGCAAGAAAAACACAATCAAAGCACCTCCAACAGATGTCCACCCAGCCTTTGTAATAATAATAATAATAATAATAATAATAATAATAATAATCTGATGATAATAATAACAATTATATAATAACAGAAACCCCAGAGGCCATCCAGCCCTACCCCCTTCTACTATGCAGGAAAAATGCAAAAACAAACAAAGCACCCTCTGAAAGTGGTGGGAGTAAAATAGGAAGCAAAGGAAACAGCGGGCCGGGGGAAGGGTAGAAGGGTATGGGCAGTGTGAAAAGGCGTCTGGGAAGCAAGGAGGCAGGGGAGAAAGGGTCTGTGCCCTGGAAGGCTGCTGCTAATGTTGTTGTTGTTTCTGGTAGCTCAAAACTTTAATTTCCCTGTATTTGTCAGGAGGAGGAAAGAGGAGGAGGGAGAAAGCAGCATGTTGCTGCACAGCCCTTCATATCACCCAAGGGCTCCACGGAGCACAGTTTGAGAATCCCTGCTCTAGTGTGATGAGGCACATTGAGTCCCTTTGGGGAGAGAGGGCAGATTATAAATAAAGTTATTATTATTATTATTATTATTATTATTATTATTATTATTATATTACATGATATTGTACTTTTAGAGAAGAGATACAACTTTTTAATATATGCAGAAGCAGCCAAGAAAGAGACAGTGTATATATGTGTTTGAATATATTATAGGTGATGTCCTGATGTGAACTTTGTATGGTAATTCTAAATGGAACCAACTCTCTCACTAATATGTCCAATCAATAACCGATTAGTGATCCCACAAACATTACAGCCTCCAATTCACTTTAAACATTCATCTTGAACAGACAAACAAAACTGTTTGTAGGCTCAGGGCCCTTCCACACAGCCATATAACCCAGAATATCAAGACAGATAAACGACAATATCTGCATTGAACTGGGTTATCTGAGGCCACACAGCCATATAATCCAGTTCAATGTGGATTTTATACAGCTGTGTCGAAGGCGCTAAGGTCAATTGCAGTGGTGTAAATGACAGCCAGCATATGAATGATGTATATTTTTTCATATAGATAATTTCTCTAAAACTGCCCCTTTGCAATAGTATTACAAGAAACAATGGACCCTTGGTATCCAGTGAGGTTTCAAGCAGTGGATGACTGAATCCATGGGTGCAGATTCTGTGGATACAGAGGGCCCATTGTACTATACAATAAAGGATAGGGGTTTTTTTTTTCTTGTGTCAGGAGTGACTTCAGAAATTGCAAGTTGCTTCTGGTGTGAGAGAACTGGCTGTCTGCAAGGACTTTGCCCAGGGGATCCCCAGATGTTATTGATGTTTAACCATCCTTGTGCGAGGCTTCTCTTATGTCCCCACAGGAACTGGAGCTGACAGAGGGAGCTCATCAGCACTCTCCCTGGATTCGAACCTCTGACCTGTTGGTCTTCAGTCCTGCTGGCACAAGGGTTTAACCTATTGCACCACCGGGGGCTCAAAGGATAAGTGAAGCATCCTTTAAGAACATAGAAAGAAATAAAAATACAACCACCATTCCTCTATTAGGGATCAAAAAGGAGTGAGAAACAAAAATGAAAACAGTACTAAAAGTCTACCTTATCAATTAAACAGAGCAATGCTATCTTTAGATCTTGCCTCCACTGTACCCTCTACTGCACCTACACGGCATTTTGTATTCTGGCAATGGGTCAATGTGAAGCTATTCTCTAAAACCTTTCAACTGTTTCCATGACAAAGCCACTATTCAATCGAGTACATTCTGTACCCATGTCTGAAAAACACACACATTATTTTCCTCATAGGTTGCTGATCTTTGCAGCAAGTGGAAAACAAAAAGCAGCAATGTGAGCACATTATTACTAATGTCATTTTAAGGAAACGCTTTGCCAAGTATGTTTTCCTTACAGTGGAATGCTAGGCATCAGAATTAATATGGAGTCTAAAGGTCCTTCATTACACCCCATAGATAGGTAGGTAGTTCTTTCTGAGAACTCATGTCCCTGGCTCATCAAAAATAAATAAATAAATAAATAAATAAATAAATAAATAAATAAAGGTGATGCATTAGTGAATTGGATTCTTTAATATTCAGAATCAAATATGTCATACTCAAATTCTCTGCATAGACACTGAGAACTGGGAAGCCCTGGCCCTTGAGCACTCTAACTGGAAGTCAGCTGTGACCAGCAATGCTGCGTAATTCGAATATGCACGAATGGATGAAAGGGAGAAACGTACTAAGAGGAAGGCACATGAAGCCAACCCTAACCAGGACCACCTTCCACCTGGAACCAATATCCTCACTGCGGGAGAAGATGCGGATCAAGAATAGGGATCCACAGCCACCTACGGACTCACCGCCAAGACACCACATCTGGAAGACAATAATCCTCAAGCTATGAAGGATCGCCTAAGTAAATACGTAAGTAACTATAGTATGATGGAGTTTGAAGAAACCTAAAAGGCCATGTGCTTCAACACTACAGAAACCCATAGCTAAAGCCAACAAATGATCTTACAAACTTTACTTAAAGACCTTCAATGAAGGAGAATCCTCCACCCTCTAAAGTCCCATCTACACTGCCATATAAAATCCAGATTATTTGCTTTGAACTGCATTATATGGCAGTGTAGACCATTTAATCCAGTCCAAAGCAGATAATGTGGATTACTTGATTTGATAATCTGGATTATATGGTAGTGCAGAAAGGCCCTAGGTCTCTCAGGTGATTTCGTAGTATGCTTTCACCGACTGACCGACTGACTACTGGGGCAACCGGTGTCACTGGAAGTTACCAAACAGTTGCACATCCAAATTCCTATCAGATTCTCATCTAGGAATTTTCTAGGTGGTCCAGCACGACTCTATTGTAACTCTTGGTGGAAGTCATTCATTTCAACAGCGTTGACTATTATAGCCATGGACCTATCTCTCACAAATGCAGGGACCGTATCAATAAATATGTGGAGCTCCCAGTGGCGCAATGGGTTAAACCCTTGTGCAGACAGGACAGCTGACCAAAAGGTCAACAGTTCGAATCTGGGAAGGGGGTGAGCTCCTCTCTGTCAGCTCCAGCTTCTCGTGTGGGGACATGAGAGAAGCCTCGCACAGGATGGTAAAACATTCAGGCATCCCATGGACAACATCTTTGCAGATGGCTAATTCTCTCACACCAGAAGCAACTTGCAGTTTCTCAAGTCACTCCGACATGAAATAAATAAATAAATACATAAATAAATAAGCATGGAAACACATTTAGCTATACTTGCTGTGCAGCTTACAATTGCAACTTGACAATACTGACATTACTGTTTCAAAATGTTACTGTTGATAAAGTTGTTACTATTTTGTATAGTAAATTGAATAACTTGTTATAGCACAACTTGTTATTGTATACTTTTGTATGCTAAGCTGAATAACCTGACTTTTGGATGCCCAGAATATTGTAAGAAATTAGGTTTTCAAATTTTATGCCATGTGCTTGCATCACTGGATTGCCCCTAAAAAAAGAAGTAATGAGTGACATCATCACACTAGCGAATGAATCCACTTTAAATCTGGTTTCTGCCTCCTGCAGAATTATGGGGTTTGTAGTTTAGGGAGTGGCCTTCAACAGCTTCACTAAACTACAAACCCCAGAATTCTGCAGGAGACAGAAACTGGATTTAAAGTGGATTCATTCTCTAGTGTGATGGGGTAGTTAATATATTATTTGACAAGCAGCCTGGGTTGGTGAGCTAGTCAATAATAACAGGTTACTTCTGTGGGACCTACAATGGGTTACATAACAATTTCCTTTTTAAAATTAACTTCCCAAGCTCTACTAGATCTATAGGGAAAAAAAGAATGATGCAGTGATTTGTCAATTGTCATCCACCATTTTAAATTGAAAGAAATGTATCCCTGAAGTAAACCATGCCTAAATAAAGTAAAAAAAGACAATATTATGACAAAAACTGTAGGCTTTATATGAACTTGGATTTAATTCACAGTCTTCAAAGTTTCATATGGGCCTCAAAAGAGTCAAACATTTGATTTTGATCACTGATGTTGTCTTTCAAAAAAATAAAATAAAAACTATGGTGCACATATTTTATGTCTTTCAATGTCATTTCCATGTTGCTTTTAAACATATAATTTGCATCACTAAAAACTAAGACGGCATCTAGAAATGCAAAGATCTAGAAAACTACCTATGCAGACTCTGTAATCCGATATACTATAAGTGGATGCTGCATGTAATTTGAGAATTTGACAATGACACACAAGCAAAACAAGAACAAAGCTGGCATGCAGAAATCCAACGTGATCTTACCCGGCTTTATGAGGCTTGTCTTTGTTTCCTTCTTATATCGAGCCGATTGTTGAGTCCCGTCTCCCATTGTTCCTGCATTAAATTTATTTCTTGCATATTCTCCTCCATTAGTGCTCGTACAAAAACCGACTGGACCGTTTCCAGTATCAGGCGGCGTCTTAACTGGAGAGACCGACTGACTACTGGGGCAACCGGTGTCATCTGAAAATAGGAAACAAAAAAAGGCAGAGAAAGGGTTATTGACCAGCTTAATTACAGGTTTGGCAGGGAATCAGTTGGGGGGAAGAAGAATTACATTGTGCGGCTCCTGTTTCCCAAGGAAGCATGTGCTCCCTGCTTTAGTTGATCAGTCTTTAGTCTTTAAGGAGGCAATTCTTTGCTTTGCTTCCTCTGTTTAAAGATGGAAAAGAGGCACAGTCAGGGAGTGGGAGGTGGTTATTTGAATGTCAAGGGGCTGTAAAAAGTCACAGCAATTCCTTAACCTGTTCAAGTATGGTAAAGATTTAAAAATGAAAGTAGACTTATTGAAGCAGTTTGTTGAGACCCATCTTCCTTTATTGAATACATTAATGATGCACATTCCATTTACATTCTACACTGAAGAATTAATGCACTTTAATACAGCTTTAACTGCCATGGCACTAGGCAAGTGGTTCTTAACCTGTGGGCAATGGACCATCAGTGAAAATCTTGTCCGCAAGCCTCCTTTCTCTTTTATTTTATTTTATTTTATTTTATTTTATTTTATTTTATTTTATTTTATTTTATTTTATTTTATTTTATTTTATTTTATTTTATTTTATTTTATTTTATTTTATTTTATTTTATTTTATTTTATTTTATTTATTTTATTTTCATTCCTTTTTCACTGGCTGCCACTCCTTCCATGTCGCTGACCATGGCATATTGTCTGTGTCAGAGACTAGAGCTGATATGCATTGTACAAAAACCGACTGGACCGTTTCCAGTATCAGGCGGCATCTTAACTGGAGAGACTGACTGACTACACCGGTTGCCCCAGTAGTCAGTCGGTCTCTCCAGTTAAGATGCCGCCTGATACTGGAAACGGTCCAGTCGGTTTTTGTACAATGCAATTTTATGAATCAGCACCCCAAACTGAATCTAATGTTGACCAAAAACTGATTTGTAACCCTCTTGGTACTAATGTTGGAGAGTGGTCCCTGGTCCAAGTAGTCCCTGGTCAAATTTGTTCCTGGTCAAAGAAAAAAAAAGGTTGGGAAAGGCCAACTTTCTCTGCCAAATGGTGCTGGTGCCTCAACAAATTACAAGGGGTCTCCAAGTTACCAACAAGATAGGTTCTTTAAGTTTGTTCATAAGTTGGATCTGAACGTAAGTCAGAACAGGGACATTTTAAAGTGCAATTCCAGCCCCCCCACCCACACACATACACACATACACAAGCTTTGGATAGCATAGAGGAGGATTAACACCCCTGTTGTGTTTGTTCTGCTGCATGTGCCCCTGTTCAGAAGATTTTACCTCACTTTCTGTCCCTGTAATAATTAGATTTTGAAAAATTTGGCTTGCTGTGGAAATAAGGATTGGTGATAATGCTTCGTTTGAGAGATCTTTTCTCCATGATAACTCTTTCAGGAGTGAATTTCCCTTCAGAGGGATAGATTTCTCTCATTTCCTGTTGTCTCGCCCTCATTTTTAACTATGAGTCAGTTGTAAGTCGGATGTTTGTAACTTAGAGACTGCCTGTACAAAGTACTCAAGGGGTCAATATTAAGAAAACTGATCTGCTGATACTTATCTCCACCCAGAGCCGTTTTGAAAGTGGTTGTATCTTTATTTCCCATTAAATTAATCTATATCAAAAGTCTGGACATTATGCCCCTCAGATTTTTCAAACTACAACTTAATCTATTACTATAATGCCACACCTACATTGCTGTATAGAATGGCAGTTATAGTCAGTGTAAACTGAGGCTGGATCTACATTGCTAACTAATGCACTGGGTCTATTCTGACCATGTAATGCAGTTCAAACTGCGTTATTTAGCAGTGTAGATCTACCTTCATATAAAGCAGAACATTGCAGCTTAATTATCTCAGTCTACATTGATCATAGGGCCCCCTGATGGCGTAGCAGGTTAAACCACTGAGCTGCTGAACTTGCTGACCGAAAGGTTGGCGGTTCATGTTTGGGGAGCAGGGTTAGCTCCCACTGCTAGGCCCAGCTTCTGCCAACCTAGCAGTTTGAACACATGCAAATGTGAGTAGATCAATAGGTAGCCCTTTGGCTGGAAGGTAATGGCACTCCATGCAGTCATGCTGGCCACATGACCTTGGAGGCGTCTACAGACAATGCTGGCTTTTCAGCTTAGAAATGGAGATGAGCACCCCCCCCCCCCCCCCCAGAGTCAAACACAACTAGACTTAATGTCAAGGGGAAAACTTTACCTTTACCTTTACATTGACCATAATATGTATTTCCAAACTTCCTTCTAAGGCAGTGTACATGGGACTCCAGCCATACTGACAGGCTATTTTGTACATGGTGAGCAACTTTAAGAGAATCTGTGGGCCATTTCTGATCCCATTACTTCTCTGAAGTGTATTTTATGACACTGACCAGATAGGGCAGTTTGAAACCACTTTATATAGCAATGTAGATCGGGCCTTAAATATACATAATATTCCCTCACCATATCTTTTTAAAAGGCAAATTTCCCCCAGAAGTATCATGAAGAGTTTCATTTAAATATTTGAAAGTATGTCATAAGGAAGAGGGAGCAGGCTTGTTTTCTGCTGCCCTAGAAACCAGGACTTGGAGCAATGGATTCAAATTACAAGAAAGGTGATTCCGCCTGAATATTAGGAAGAACTTCCTAACTGTAAGAGCTGTTCTGCAGTGGAACTCTCTGCCTCGGAGTGTGGTGGAGGCTCCTTCTTTGGAGGTTTCTAAACAAAGGCTGGATGGCCTTCTGTTGGAGGTGCTTTGATTGTGCCTTTTTTGCATGGCGGGGGGTTGGACTAGATGACCCACGTGGTCCCTTCCAACTTTATTAATCTATGATTCTATTTTATGATGTACACCAATTACTCCACTCCCACTATCAACAAAGTTGACCAAAAGTTTTAAGTCTCCACATCTTATAATGTACACCATCAAGGTACTGATCGGGTGCACAAGGAAAATTTCAGGACTGCAGCCAAGTTTAGCAACTACTAAATCGTTGGTGGACTCACCAATTATGTGTGTTTGCACTTTGAATGCTGTTTAAGTCAAAGTGAATGCAGCAGGTGTCTGGGACAAACATGCAAGTACATGACATGGAATAATATTTCACCGGCAAAGGAAAGCACTTCAAGAACCAACATACATTTTCTAGGCTTCCCTTTCACAGTGGGAATTGAGATGCTTCATCTCAGCAGGCTGAGTAGAAGGCGTTCAAAAGAAAATTCCAAAGAGAAAGAGATCAGTAGGAGTAAGCATGAGGAAGGGGGGGGGGGATGGGGAGAATTTGGGGTGTTGGAAACTGCAACACTAGATGTGTCAATCACARGAGATAAAGAAGACATTGGCACACTTGCAAGTACTCTTTTACAAAATAACACATCTAAATCCAGCACAATATTACATCATGAAAAAATCCTTGAATCTTCTGTCACCCACAAAGAAATACGCCTCTTGTAAAAATCAAGACAAGGCCCCACATTTTGGACCTGTCTGGATGGGTCCTAGGAATGTTTTAGGGCAGTGTTTCTCAACCTGGGGGTCAGGACTCCTAGGGGGGTCACAAGAGTGTGTCAGAGGGATCACCAAAGACCATAAGAAAACACAGTATTTTCTGTTGGTCATAGAGGTTCTGTGTGGGAAATCTGGCCCTATTCGATTGTCGGTGGGGTTCAGAATGCTCTTTGATGGTAGGTGAACTATAAATCCCAGTAACTACAACTCCCAAATGTCAAGGTCTATTTTCCCCAAAGTCCACCAGTGTTCACATTTGGGCYTCTTGAGTATCCATATCAAGTTTGGTCCAGATCCATCACTGAGTCCACAGTGCTCTCTAGATGTAGGTGAACTAGAACTCCAAAACTGAAGGTCAGTGTTCACCAAATCCTTCCAGTATTTTCTGATGGTCATGGGAGTTTTATGTGCCAAGTTTGGTTCAATTCTATCATTGGTGGAGTTCAGAATTCTCTTTGATTGCAGGTGAACTATAAATCCCAGCAACTACAACTCCCAAATGACAAAATCAACCCCCCCCCCAGCCCCACCAGTGTTCGAATTTGGGTGTATTGGATATTTGTGCCAAATTTGGTCCAGTGAGTGAAAATACATCCTGCATATCAGATATTCACATTACAATTCATAACAGAAGCAAAATTACAATTATGAAGTAGCAACAAAAATAATTTTATGGTTGTGGCTCACCACAACATGAGGAACTGTATTAAGGGGTCACGGCATTAGAAAGGTTGAGAACTACTGTTCTAGGGTCTTTAGGACAATTCTACAGTAACCTCAGGTGGAAGTCATTCATTTCAATAGGGTGAGATAATATTCACTATTATTCACAGTTCCCTGTTTATTCAATAAGTCCAAGGAATGTATCCATTGCAAGTTATACATCCTTGATGGTTTTCCTCTACCTCAAGTAATGCTTCTGTTTTCCCCATTGTCTCTGTGAAACTGTTCTCCCCATCTGTTTTTAAAATGCTTTCTGTGCTTCTTGGTTTGTTTTAGTTCTATGATGCTTCTCTTGAAGTAGAATATAAAGTATGAATTTTCTAAATAATATAGGACTGTTGGAATGTTTAGAGTATTCATTTGCTCATCTCTCTTTAAATATATATTGACTGCCTTTCTGAAACTCACAAAGGCACTGTTTTATATCTGTCTAGATAGACAAATGTATATAAAATCGCAATATGCAGAATTAAACGAGTCATAGAAACTGTTAAACCATTTAAAAAAGTTTTAAAGATATGCCTTGAACTTTGCCCACTTGAAGTACACACTCCAGAAGGAGTGTGTTCCAAAATTTGGGAATACTTCCAGAAAAAAAATCTTGCCCATATGCTGAAAAAGCAGATCACCACAAAAAAAGTTTCTTCGAAAGGTCTTCTTCTGTTGATCTTAATAACGAAGCAGATTCAGAACAAGGTGCATTATCATTTCTCAACTCTAAAAGTAGGCCAATTGTAGACTTGGCAATACCATATTAAAG